CTGTTTGCCTCCAGCGCTGTGTGACTTCCTTTTCATTCAGTCCCACCTTGGCAGATGACTTGTGCCACCTGCACCAAGTCACTTCTCTGCCTCAGTTTTCTCATCCATACAATGGGACTCATCATTCTTACGCCCAGTACAGTGCTGCCACCACTACGTGACAGCCATGGAAAGGCCTGGTGCCAAGTGGAACTGCCAGCACTCGCAGACCCCCTAGGACCGTGGATACGTGTCACCGTGGAAGGTTTTTGCTTAGTTTCTCTGAGCCTCGGGGAGGAAGCCAGCTGAGGGGCTGCTGTGAGGTGAGCCAACTCCTGTTGCTTACCCATCCCCCACCCTGCGACCAGCCGGGCTTCCCCCTCATGCTCCGCTGGGCCCATGAATATTGACGGTGCGTGGGTCCTTTTCAGGGTGCTCATAGTCCCTGGGGGAGAAGGAGCTTTTCTTTGTCTTGTTTTGATCCCCTGAGTTGGCCTCCCTCTGAGCAGATGAGTCACTGGCCTAATCCTGCAGCTGATCTGAGGCCCCCTCGAAGCCCTTGAGGCCTGGCTGGGGTCCAAGCCTCCCATGGGTGTTGGCAGTCAGTGGGCAGACCAGGCCCCAAGAACAGCATGCCCAGGCTGGCTTAGATTGTTCTAGAAGCAATTCCAGCTCTCCTGCAGATGCCAGACAGAACCCTCACTCCTCCCAGGAAGCCTCAGGTGCAGCCCTGAGATGGAGCCTGGAGTTACCTTGGGGACAAACATGGGCCCAGGGGTCAACCATCCTCATTCCACTGGGAGCCACGCACGCTCGCAGGGCACTAACTGTGGAGAGACACACACAGGACACTTCCCACAGCTCGTCTTGCTGCTTCCTCACAGTCCCCGGAATAGGCAGGTCCACCTATTCCACAGCTGAGGAGGAAGTGACCTGCCCAAGGCCACAAAGCTGAACAAATGGCAGGTTTGTCTGGCTCTGTGTCCACATTTTTCCTATGACCCCAGAGAGACAACACCAACAGACATTCCGGGGTGGCCCACCAACCAGACCAACACGCAGAGCTACGTTCAAATACAAGGGGCCCGTCCTCATCCACCCAGGATACCAAGAGGCATCTCGGGGGTGGCCCTGCAACACACACTCCACTCTCCTTCACGGAGGAGCATGTGCTCACCGACCTCCCCGTGGTGTGACCTTGGGTGCAGTCAGTCTTACACTTGACTGTCACCCCCAAGCTGGCCCTCCTCAGGAGTCGGCTGCAAGCTGTGCAGTCTGAGCCACCCTGGCCTTCCTACTTCCTCTATCATGAAAGGGCACGTCTTGTTTCCTGCAGGGAAATCCGGGTTTTAGACTCCTACTGGGTGATTTTCTTTTTTGTTGTTTTTTTTTTGTTTTTCTCCGGTACCGGGAACCGAACTCACAACCTTGCACTTGTCAGGCAGGCGCTTTTGCCGCTGAGCTAAATCCCCAGCCCCCCTACTGGGTGATTTTTGAAGTGCTTCAGCCACTGCACACATTCCCTCAGCAGTACAGGCTGCCTGGCCTGATTGTGCATGGACACTGGGGCCTCCATCTTCACCCACACTCCATGGAAACTCTGCTGGCCCCGCAGGCACAGGTGAAGGCTCCATATTCCTGGGGCCTGAGAGCACCAGGTCTGCGGTTCAGCTCCTCGTCATCTTTTCCAGCCCTCAGGCTATGCGGCAGTCAGAGAAGTCAGTTGACCCCACTCCAAGATTGACTTGGGACAGCCTGGCTACTGGAAGATGCTGTGGACCAGATGCCCTAACTCATCCCATCTGGGCAGGTCCTCTGCCCAAGACGACCAGCCAGGACACGATCAGAGTGCGCTGGCAATGCTGAGAGCTGCTGGCACCCCTGCCCCACAGAAGTGAAGATAGGTGTAACTATGGGCACTGAGGCTGCCTGGAGACCACAGAGATATAGTCTGTCCAGTAACAGGGGCCTCATGGGAGAAGCTAGTCCATAGAATAGAGGAGAGAATGGGAGCGAAAACTAGCAGCCCTGGGTGGAGCTACCTCTGAGCTGCTCAGTTCCATAATCTTTTTCTTCTGTCACTTGCTACCAGAGAATCCTAAGGGGTACTTTGCTCAGCGCACCATCAGTAAGCCGTGGATCTGGTTGAAGTTATATCCCAGAGCCTGCACCCCCTCCAACTCACACATGGCAGGCCCTTGGCACACAGAGCAGATGACCGGAGGCAGGTTAAATCCGCCCACCCAGGGCATAGCCCAGCACATGGGAAGAAAAGGGAGGCTCCAGTAGGCACAAACCCAGCAAGGCAGATGTCCTGAAGGGGCGAAGCCGGAACTCAGATCCCGGTTGATTTGATATTTAATTCTACTTGTCAAAGGACAAAAATGACAACAGTTTCCTTTGAAGAGTTTCATTGGCTTTGTTTTTACTCTAGAACTGGGCAGCGCTTTGCCCCATAAAATACAGTAAATGCCAGTGAGCTGAGTAGAGGGCTGAAGGAAATAGAAAAAAGAGCACAAATAGCAAACAGGTCATCTCACAGTTACTTGCCTCGGAAGGTGGGGACAGAGAAACAGAAGAACAGAAAAAAGCTTGTTAACACTGGGTCACTACAGGTGACAGTTTTTGTGTAAGGAAAGATTAAGACAGAGGAAACGTCATTATCACGACAGCTGAAACTGGACTGCTTGGGAAACTTGACTGTTGCTCACTCCTGATTTCTAGGAAAATTGGAGAACAATTTGGTGTTGGTTTGGTGATAGGGAATTTTGACATAAGTGACTTCATTTTGATTTTCAGTCTGGCCCATTGGTGGCCAGCCTGGAAGTCAATCCAAAAGCATGGCTTCCTATAATGTTACTTAAAGCGTAGAAGAAAAGGGAGTGGGTTTCCTGACCCCTTTTCTCAGTATGGTCTCTGTTTCCCTCCCGGAAGCTGCCCCCAGATTGCCCACTTTCTTGGCATAATTGGGACATTTCACAGCCTCCTGTGTGGGGAGAGCACTGACAGCTTCTTGGTAATTTTGAGGATCCCCCTTTACCTGCACCTCCACACTGAGACTTCCCTCTTCTGCCAGGGGTGGGGGCGCGCTGGAGCCCAGCCCACCTCGTCCTAGAGTCACAGAACTGCTTCTCTGCTCTTACTTTCTCCTGAGACCATCAAGAAAGGCCTCCTGGGGGCTGGGGATTTAGCTCAGTGGCACAGCGCCTGCCTGGCAAGTGCAAAGTCGTGAGTTCAATTCCCAGTACCAGAAAAAAACAACAAAAAAAAGAAAGGCCTCCTGGGCTGTCCCTCTCTCTCTCTAGACCCCCATGAATATCTGGGAGGATCAGAGGCAGCATTTGGACATCTGAAGTAGCAACCAAGTGCTAAGATCACAAGGTGGCGCCTGGAGACGGAAGCCAGACATCAGAGAGGGGCCCAGGAAATGCCTGCTCTATACTGGGTGCTGGGACATTAGGAGGAGCAGCAGAGGTAGCACCACCTCCTGCTGCTTATGGCCTGGCGACACGGTTATGATTTGTATCATGCACTCATAGGCGGGGCTTTCTGGATGTAGCTGGATTTAGGATGTGTGCATGTGAATTAGGGGTGTGGTACTAGGATTAAGGGCATGGATAACGGAAGTCCCGCCCTGATGTGGGTGGCACCAATCAATAGGCTTATAGCCCGCATGTAATAAAAAGGGACAGAAAGAAGGCAGGCTGTTGCTGCTGCTCTCTGTCTTCTGCCTGCCACTCAATGAGCTATTTCTCCTCTGCGATGCCCCTGCCATGCCACCCTGCCTTGGAACCAGCGGACTTGGATTTGAAACCCGTATAAACTGTGAGCTAAAATAAACTTTTCCCTTTTGTGGGTGTCTGGTATTTTGTCTCAGCAATCAGAAAAGTAACTAAGACAAACACCCAAGTGGAATCACCTGCATGTATAGCTACTCCAGTGATGTGTGACAATCCTCCACACAGCAACAGCAGCATGACACCGAGTTCCGTGAGTACAAATCCCACCACCCACAGGTGTCACACTCCCAATGCAACCAACCTTGGATCAAAGCTATCAAAAAATACATCTGCATTGCACAGACTTTATTTTCTTGTCACCATTTCTTAAGCCCTGTGATATAACAGCTTTTGACATAGTGCTGTAGCTTGGCTCTGGAATGTCCCTCAAAAGCCCATGTCCTAGAGGCACAATCCCCGGATTGGTGCTATTGGGAGGTAGTGGAAACTTTAAGAGAGCAGGCCTGGTTGGAGGTCTTTAGGTCACTGAGGGCATGTCCTTAAGGGAGACATTGGGATCCCAAACCTATCATCTTCCTCTTTTTTTTTTTTTTTCATCACAACCATGAAATGAATGGCTTTGCTCCATCTACCACAGGTTCCTACTATTGTGTGCTGCCTCACCACAGGCCCCAAGTCCACAGACCGTTGATTGGAACCTCCAAAACTGTGAGTCAATATAAACTTTCTCCCCTTAAAGTTGATTATCTCAGGTGCTTGCTAGAGTGATGAAAAAGCTAGCTAATACACATATCACTTATACTATACTATTATAAGTCATCTAGAGATGGTGTTATAAGTCATCTAGAGAGGGTTCAAAGGTCCATGCAAATACTACACCATATTATAGTAGAGATTTGAGTGCCATGGATATGGGGGCACGGTTTAGTCCTGGAACCCATTGCTGGAGAGGCCAAGGGCCCACAGAAAATGCACAGGAAGCTCTGTAAGGCTGTGTAGCCAGCTGTCAATGGTCTATCTCCAGGAGTGGGGTTGGGGTGTTCAAAGTGACATCAGTGACAAAGTGACATCTATAGCATTTCATTTTCTTCCCCACCTTCACAGCTAAAAATTATTTTTAAAAAATAGCAAATATGTGAACATAATTAAATAACAATCCTGGTATGCTATAGTGGGAAGAAGATATCCAAGGTTTTGACTGCTTGTCTCATGGCAGAGTAGCAGAAGAGGACAGATCCCAAGTCTGCAGAGAGCAGCACGGGAGCTCCCACCTCTACTCACCTCTCCAGAGGTAGTGACCCCCATGGCACCAGGGGCTGGGGAAGTTTCTGGAAGCCTGAGGCCTCTGGAATGAAAGCATCTTCTCATGGCCTGTGACCAAAGGGAGGTGTATGGCTGTCTTTTATTAGCATTTTCATCATATTTCTATATTTTACCAAATCCAACATGTCAGGGAGGGGACAGAGTGAAGGTTCTAAAAGCAGAGGGTTTTATGGGGTCTGATACTGAGGAGGAAAATGTTTTCTGGATGAATCCAACCCAAAGGGTAAATAAGCGTTATGATAACAATTTTTAAAATTATTATGTGGGCCAGGCATATAGCTCAGTGGTGCAAGCACCTTCCTGGCAAGCACACCCTCCTGAGATCAATTCTCAGTACAAAAAAAAAAAAAACCCAGTAAAATAAAATAATTAAATAGCCTATATTTTAATGATACAAGTAGTACGGAAAATGATTCTCTGAACAATTCAAACAATCCCAGTGAAGCGGAGGCACCTCTTCCCTGTCCTCCCCACCTAGCCTCGCTTTGAAAGGTGACCATCCTACCGCGTTTGGTGAACATCCTTCCAGAACTTTCTCAAAGCCGTGATAAACACACAGACCTACTGAAATGAGAAACCTTGGCTTGCCTTTTGTTTATTTAAAATAAATACCTGATGTACACATCTGCAACTTTTTTCTCTGAACAAGTCTTAGAAATCTGAGTCGGTTCGTGTGGATCTTTTTGGTTCTTTTTAAATATTACAGAAAACTATGGTATTGACACATCAGACATTACTTGACTATTTAACATGGTGTTCAGGTAAAACAAGAAACTTCTGTCATCTGACACAAGAAAGCAACGTGTACCCCCACCCCCACCCCTGCACACAGGCATCTCTCTGCCTCCCTTTCCTCACTGGTAACACGGTGGCATTCGCCTAAGTGATGTCTGTGGGCATCTGGACAGCCTGTAGCTTTAAACCTTTGCTCTCCCCTGTGATACCTCTGTGCTGCTGTTTACCTGACTCAGCCAAGGGGCCCCTGCCTCCCCTCAGCCAGCCCCTGGTGGCCCTGGCTGCCCAATTTCTTAGGCTTGTGGCAAAAGAACACACAGCACTCTTGGAGCTCGCAGCTGCCTTAAAATTGTAGTTCTGTCTCACTCTGTGCTCTGCTAAAGCACCCACGCTTGATTTTGTCTGGAGCTGTCAGCAAATGGAGACAATGGGCCCAGCACATCCTCGCCAGCTCTCGGAACCCAAGGGCCTCACACAGAGGCCAAACCCTTTGTATCAAAAGTCCCTTCAGACAAATGCCGCAGGGAAGGGATTTGGGAAGAAGAGGACTCCAAGGACCTAACTGCATGCTCCCTCCTCTGGCAGGGGGTGGTCCACCTGCCTCTTGTCCTCCCAGCCCATCTGAAGCTGCTTCTCCAAGGAATCCTGCGTGGGTTCCCCACTGCACAGCTCTGCTCCCCATAAGATAGACATAATTTCTAGCACTTTACATGCAAGAACCCAGTGAGTGAAAACAAAATCTTTTTGTTGCTGTAACAAAATACTTGAGACCAGGTAACTGCTGAGGAAAAACAAGTTGACTTCACTCACCGTTCTGGAGGGTGGAAAGTCTCATGGCACAACACCAGCATCTGGAGGCTTTCTTGCTGCATCGGACTAAGCCAGAGGGCATCATGTGGCAAGACAGAGCAAGTGTGTGAGTTTGGGTCTCTCCTCTGCTTCATATAAAGACCCCAAGACCATCATGGGGTTCCACCCTCACGACCTCACCTCCCAAGAGCTCTTTGCCAAACACTATGGACCTCTACACGTCATTAACATGTGAATTTGGGATTAAGTTTCTAACACATGAACTTTTGAGGGACACATTTGACCTATAGCACCCCTTGAGGTATGTTCTGCTACTACCCCCTCTTGGCAGAAGAGGAGACTGAAGCAGTACTCCAGATAAACACCATTATTTATTGGTAGAGCCAAGCTGGGATCACAGACCTGCATTGATACCCCAGCTTCTTTTCATCTCATACGTGAAGAATCAGCAAAGGTCTCCCAAAAACTCATTTCATGCATTGACTCACTCACAAAACATGTTTCACATCCCCTCCATGGGACACGAGGCATTCATGTTACTGACAGGACAGTCAGGGCACATGCCCTTGTGCGCCGTATCAAGCAGAGCTGAGCAAAAAGTGCTCAGCCAAGAGATTACCACTGAGTAGGTCTTCAGCAGACAAAAGACAGATTTGAAGAATCTACAGGGAAGTGGAGGCCCTTGTATCCGGGAGGGCTCTGAGCCGCAAGATGCTCCAATCTGCCTCCCCTTACTCTGCACCACCCTCCTGAGTGTTGACTTCCCAAGATAGTCAGAAGCTGCCTTCCACCTCCCCGAGCCATTTCACAGCAAGATGACTGCGAAACCTCTCAGCTCCCCTATGAGGCCCAGGCTGCTCTGGGTGCTCCACGCTGCAGTTGCCATGGCAGCCAAGGGGGATCTCACCCACCCCAGCATCCTGTTCATTCCATTGGCTCCCTCTGAACTGTCTGAGGCCTCTCGCTGCCGAGCCTCCTGGGACACAGAGGAAATAATACTCTCAGTCCAGGGAGACCCCATAAGAAGGATTCTTGAAGAAGAGCTGTGCACACACTCGATTACACACACACACACACACACACACATGTGCACACAGTCATACACACACACACACACACACACACTCTGGACTCTTGTACACAAGCAAGTGGAAAATCAAGGCACTCAAAAACTTATAGGGGAACAGACACAGCTCATGAAACAGCACCCTGACAGCAATTTGCAGGCATGGGGACACACGGTCTAGATTAGTTGTCCTCTGCCACGTAACAAATAACCCCCAAACTGAGCCACCCTCCATCGTCTCACATGGTTTCCTGGGGTCAGGAACTCGGAAGAGCTCCACAGGGCCTCTGGCTCAGTCTCTGATGCCACAATCGGGTCGTCAGATCTCTCAGAGTCGTCAAGGGGACAGAGAGATCTGCTTCCAGGGAACTCTGTGGCCGATGGCTCGAGGCTTCTGTCCTTGGCTGCCAGTGCTCCCTGCAGGGCTGCCTGGACACAGATCCCCCAGAGCGGGTGACCCAGGATCAAAAGGCAGCACAGGAGTGGGCAGAAAGCAACCAAGATAGGAACTGAATCTCGGGGGTTCTGGCCTACTGTGGAAGCACCCAATACAATGTGAGGAGACAAGGGCATCATTGTGGATCACTGGACTCTATCTGGGAGGCTGGTCACCACACCAACTGATGATCTTCCTCTTTGCTGAAATGAAACCCCAGTTTAGGGCTGGGGTGCAGATCTGTGGTAGAACACTTGTCTAGCAGACACAAGGCTCTGACTCCAGCACTTAAAAGAAATCAGTGAGATAAATCAAGAGAAAAATCTGGGGAATATGATTGACTTGCATTAATCAGATAATCCCATATTTGTTGTCTAGAATTAGTTTAGAAGGTACAGATGATCTGATCAATTCTGTCCATAGAGCCTGAGGATAACTCCAGAGGGTGTACCCTGCGAATGCTTTCTTGCCCTACTATAGGCAAGAAATTACTACGCCCTCTCTGGATGTCACAGATTTGTCTGGAGCTACGGCAGCTGCTTTTCAACCGTGAGAGGAATCATTGCCAACAAATGAGAGGGCAAATAAGAAAGACCTGGTTGTGTCTAAACCAGCTGGTCCAGAACTATCCTCCAGACTGCTTGTTACATGAAATGATAAATTTCGCATTGCTTAAGAGTCTTTCAGTTCTGTTATGTGCCACAAAAACATGCTAGTAGAAGCAGACCCCTTGCCGAACACTAGGAAATCAGGGAAGGCTTTAAGAGAAACTAAATGTCTTTAAGTGGGGCCTTAATGAATGGTTAGGGATTCAGGTCAACCAGCAAGAGAAAGCATTCCAGACCACAGGAAGAGCATGACATAGCATCAGAGCCCTGAAAGAACAAGGCCCCTTGGTGCCGGGTGCACAAGACATCTGCAAGGGAGTAGCAGAGGTAAGAAGCCACACTGCAGGATGAGCAGTGTCCTAGGGCCAGTCAGTCAGGTTCAAGTGGCTGAACTTCAGCCAGAAAGTAAGGAGTGCCACAGGAGGGCCACGGTGGCACTTTTGGAAGCACCCTTGTGAGCAGTGTGGCAGACACAAGGCAGTGAGGTAGCAGAAAGGCAGGGAGCCAACTCCACTTCATGTTCAGCCAGTGCCAGACCAGAAGTGTGGTTCACCGTGAAGGGTTGTCAGCGTGGCATTGGGGCACAGCCAGAGGCACCAGCCCTCCCCACTCCAAAATCTCACAGTGGGAATTTTAGTTGCTAAAAAGTGTTAAAGTCAGACTACATCATGTTTTAAAATTACCTACTGGTTTCTCATTACATTGGGAGTGAAATTCAGACTCTTACCCTGGCTGATAAGTCCCTGTGTGATCCAGCCCCTGCCCCTTCCTGCCCAGTATGCTGCCGTCATACCAGCTCTCTCCCCTCCACAAATGTGTCACCTTTGTTCTGACCGCAGGGCCTTTGCATGTGCAGTTTCCTTTTCCTGGAATGAGCTTTCTGTGGCTTTTTACTTAGCCGCCTGCTGCTCAGTCTTCAGATCATAGCACAGATGTCCCCTTCCTGGAGTCTCCTCTGACCACCCTATCCAAAGTAGGCTCCTTGTCACCTGCTACTCTATGTGCCCTGGGTACTTCCACCCAGCACATATCACTTTCCGGAAATACATCTTAGGTAGTTTTTCACTTGCAATATATTGTCCTTCTGCTCCCTCTGTCATGTTTCCTACTAAATTCCCAGCTCCTAGTACTGTTCTTGGCAACACAGAGAGCACAAAGAAATATTTATTCAGCTCATACCCACATCTTTGCTTTCATGTGGAACATGAGGCCACAAAAGCAGATAGGACGTTGCCCTCGGCAATGCACTTGCCCATGCATTTTCCCATCCGGGTGCCAATGTGCCTGAACTGATCCCTGGCACACTGTACCAGCAACTGTGGGGGCAGGGACTGTGTCCTCCACAGCCCTGGGTGTCTGAATCCTGTCCTAGTATAGATATTTAACAAGCACTTGTTTGTGCAGACCGAGGAGGAGGAAGAGATGGAAGGAGATGGTGGGGGCCGTGATAAGCTTTGTCTGAGTACAACATCCAGCGATTACCCCGAGTCTCCATCAGTCTGCCAATCATCCGGCAGCTGGGAGTCATGGAAATGCAGATCTCTAAGGCACAGCCCTTACCTCGAAGAATTTACCCTCTGAACAGAGAAGTGAAGCAGAAGGGAAGATTACAGCCCAGGACAGAGGAAAGGGCAGGGCTCTGGAGTCAGCCCAGTTTAAATTCAAACTCCAGCTCTGCCACTGGCTGCTGTGCCTCTTTTGTCCTTGCGTTCAGGTGACGGTAGTCGTTCTTACCTCCTGGGGCTGTGGGAACTGCTCAGCGCACTGGCGTCCTCCACAAGCACCCGGGTTTCTCCCTGTAACCAGCACTCAGTGCAGCAGCCTGATGACCCCACCCTGTTCAAATCACCCAGCAGCAACCAAGAAGCAAAAGCACGTGGGCTGCTTTCTCATCCTTCTGCAACGCCCTCCTTGCAGGGCACGGGAGCTTTCATCCCATCCACAGATTTTATTAAAAATCTTGGCCACAAAGCACAGACTCCATAAAACGTCTCCAAAGTGATGTTTCAAAAGAGAGCGCTCATCTTGTAGAGCTATGCATTATAATACTGGCAAGTAAGACGGAACGACGTCAAGGAGTCTCTTTCAAAATAACCCAGCGTGGAAAGGGTGATGTGGGAGGAAAAAACTGTGAAACAAGTGTGGCCAGAAGGCGGACACTGTCCGGCCGGCAAGACGAGTACCTGCGACTCGAACCCGACATAATCTTTGTGTTTTTCTTTGTGTTTGGGATTTCTCATCATGAAAAGTGTATTTTAAAAGCTCTCTAAAGAACCTCCTTAGGAAAATACTCTAATTTCCCCATTTCATCAATAAGAAGATAAGACCCAGAGGCATTGGGTAACTTGTCTAAGCAGCTTGTTTGGCAACAGTCAGAATTCAAACCCAGCACTGATCATCAAAAATAAGAAAATTACAAGCAAACGATGATCTATGAAAGTCTCCACAGAAAAACATAGTTTAAATAACTAACAAGAACAATGTTAAGAAATATAAACTAGCTGAGCATGGTGGCACAGACGTATAATCCTGGCACTCAAGAGGCTGAGGCAGGAAGATCATTGTGAGTTCAAGATCAGCCTGAACTACAAAGTGAGACTGCCCCCGCAAAACACACACACACACACACACACACAAATATATATTTTTTTATTTTCCTTAAATCATCGGTTTAGGATGAGGGGGAACTCTATTCTTTCTCCAGTTTCCCTCTCCGTGCTTCTCTTCCTCATGAGATCAGGGTTTCCGAGGTTGGTGATGAGCACACAGCACAGGTCTGTCCTATCTTGCCAGCCAGGCCAGCACCTCTCCCTGTGTCTTGCAGAGTCCCCACCCGGGCCTGGGCCCCGCACGGACACACCACACAGGCGGCTTGGCGTTCCTTCAAGCCCTCAGTCTGGTTCAAACCCTGCCTGCCCCTTGCTAGCTGGGAGCGTGAGCAAGTCACTCTCCTGCTCGATCCGGGCCCTGGCATGGCAGGGAGAGAAAGTGTTTCCCGCTGCCTCTTGCAGATAGAACAGCATTCAAGGCGCCCCCGCAGCTCCTGCACAGCCCTCGGACCCTGAATGAGCGGAATTCGACTTAGGAAGGCTGGAGCTGAGTCATCCCCGCACCCTCCGCATCGTGGGGCTCACGGAGCAGAATGTGGGTGACTGGCAGGATGCGCACCCATGACGGTGGCACCCCAGCTTCCTCCAGTGTGGCACTGCCACCAGACGGCTCCTCTCTCCCATGGAGCGTAGAGCGGGGTTCACCTGCGTTCCCAGGCACATTTTCCGGAAGACCCAGTCCCTGGCAGGAGGCCTTGGAGAGGTCACCTGTCTGACCCTTTGTTCCGCGTAAGGCAGCAACAGACTGAAAAATGCATGAAAGTCTGACGGGCTGGCCACACCCCCAGGACCCCGCCTCCGTCTGGCTGTCTGCCTGAGGATGCCTTCCAGAGAGGTGACAGCCCTCTGCCGGTTGAGCCTGCCTGATTTTCAGGGACTTCCCTGTGAGCACAGGAGAAAAAAAAAAGGCAGTGACTGCCCCCAGCTGGCGGAAATCAGGAACAGGTGACTGTGGCTGAAGAATCCAGACAGGAGGTGACAGCCCCAAACCAGCACAACAGTAGGTTTGATGAGCACCTACTGTGTGCTAGGCTCTTTTCATATGCCGTCTCATTTAAGCCTCATAGTCACCCCACAAGACCCCATACTACAGAGCAGAAAGCTGAGCCCCAAGAAGTTGGCAGCTCCAGTCAAGGTCATTCAATTACTCAGGGGCAAGACCAAAGTCCTAAGACACAGACCCTATGTGCCAGACAGGGGAGAAGAGAGGAGAAGAATGAAAACATTGAGCATAGTCTCGGTCCCACACCTATGGGGTAAGTGGTGGTCCCTCAAAGCATGGAAGGCCCACACAGATGCTGTGCACATACCTGTAATCCCAGTACTCTGGGAGGCTGATGCAGGTGGATCCCAAGTTTGAACCCAGCCTGGACAAATTAGCAAGATCCTGTCTCAAAATATGAAGGACTGGGGATGTAGCTCAGCATGAAGGCCCTGGTTCAACCTCTAATATCACCCCCAAAATGCACAAAACCTAATGCCCACAGTGACGTCATGTGCAGATGGGACCTTCGGGGTAACCAGGGTTGGACAAGTTCATAAGAGTGGGCCCCCACTGGAGGGTTAATGCCCTTATAAGAAGAGAATCCACCATGTGAAGACACAGTGAGAGGGTGTCTGTCTGCAAACTAAGATAAGGGCCTCCTT